ATATGTGGCCTGAACTTACCGAAGGAAGCAGCGCACGACGTGCTTCAGAAGCCTTACGGTCTGCTGCTCCACGAGCTGGGTGACCATGTTGCTCAGGACAGTCCCCACAGCATAGAATCTCTCGTATGTCGCACATATATATGCAAGACCAATATCATCGAGTAGGATTTTCTGCACAATAAAGATAGCAACTGTTTTGCTCAACTCCGAACCGGTTTCCATGATACGGAGGCAGAGGGGGATAATCTCGGTTGTGAGGAGGAAGTTAATGACATCAGAAGAGTCATTCTTGACCAACGCTCCGATCACACCAAGAGAGGTGAGGCGAAGGTACTCGAACGGGCGAGACTTGGAGGTCGTATTCAGGAAGGGATAAAGAAAAAGGGGAATGTGAGCTGGAGGAGTGTTTGCGTCAGTCAATAAGCATTGTAGACAAGCATGAGCTGCTACGTACCGTTCAGAAATAGCGTGCGGGTCTCATTGTGGGAGGCGACACATTGCAACAGAGCCAGGGCGTTGCAGACTCGATTCGAAGCCGCAGCCGTTAACTGAGAGGGGTTCAACAAGGGGTATACAGAAATGATCTCCTGAAGCAAAGCAGTCATGACGCCTACAAGAACAGAATTGTTAGCACCCATGAAGTCAAAAAATCGCCACATATAGGAGACAGCTCATACCAAACGAATGCCAAATGACAAGCGCTAACTCAGGAACCTGCTCTCGCTTCTTACTTAGTTCCATAAGAGCAGCTTCTCTGCGGTTCGGATCCAAAAGCTCAGCAACCCAGATGAAAACCTTGCGGTTCTCATCGCTGATCCCACCATCCATCACCGATACTGCGCCTGGGAGAGCGCCATCCCCGCTCAATCCTCCAGCGCCCGCACCCTGTGTTGGGTTTCCAGCAGCAGGATTGCCGGCCATAGCGATGCGATTATAGTGTTGTTGCTGAGCTGCGGCGGCTGCTGCCGCAGCGGCCTGCACTTGGGCATGTTGTTGGGCCACCAAGGAAGAATGCTGTTGTTGGGCTTGGTGTGGGTGGTGCTGGGCTTGATGGTGCTGCTGCTGCTGTTGTTGATGTTGCAGCCAGGAGGGGTCAGCGGGGTATTGATGCTGATGAGAAAAAACGTGCTGAGTCTGCGTCTGAAGCATGACGGGCTGGTGAAGGATCGGGGACTCGTAATCCTCAGGAGGACAGTAGTGGCTGTTCTGAGCGACCGGAGACAGATACAAGGAATGAGACGTCGAGGGAAAGGTTTCTATTGTCAAGGAATTGTACCCGAAACTAAATTCATGAATGACAGTTTTTTGTCGTGGCTATTTGCTTGAGGGTTGAATATGGAAGTGCGCGATTTGGTGTGTTGAAGAATGAAGTGTGAGCGATGGATGGAGAAGTCGAGGAAGTTCCGGACTACGGGAGGCGGGGAGAACGCAAGTTCCGGCCGAGCATTGACTTGATGCTTTAAATCCGTGCGCGGCCCGTTTAAATCGTCTCAAGTCACTCAAGCTTCAACAGCCAATTGCCCCTTTAAGTAGGGTTGATATTGATAGTATAACTACGACCGTTCCAACCCAGACATTCTTTCGTCGGCCATGGTTTTCGGTTTTACTCTAACTTCAATTGAAAATGATCAAATGAAGCGTCTCCATAGCATACAATACTAAGGTGCCGATGTCCCTCTGTGGACTTGCCGCCTTGCACGTTACACAGGATGTCGCACGAGTTCTTCCGGCAGATGCAGGTTACTATTGCGGTAGCTTTGAGCAGAGGGACTCGGTACCCGTCATTACGGTGCAGAAAGTGCCTGATCTTGCCCACCCCCTCAGTCCTCCTGTCTAAAGCCCTCGACCTGCATTTCATATCTTTTGGTCTGAGCGCAATATACTCCGATTCCTGCGGCTACATGCAATTGACCTATCCAAACGATCCCAATCAAGACTTTTGAATACTTAGTGTCTCACATAATTGTCATTGCACTATTTCGTATTTACATCGTTCTTTCATTGACCCATTCGGAATATATCCGAAAACAAGGGGGGGGGATAATAAAAAGAAAAAGAAAAAGAAAAAAAAAAATGGATAGGTCATTAGGACATGAATACATAGCTCGTCATCATACATATCGACTTCAAGAAGAAAAAAGGGAGAAAAGGGTACGGGATTTGACGCAAGTAAGGCAACAGAAACATGGTGATACAAACAACACAAAATGCCAAACCAGCGCCTTTCTATGCTTGAGGGGAACCAAAAAAGAATATGAAAGGAAAAACACGTGGCGAAAACGAAAACAGAAAGTCATAAATAGGTTCTTGGTCTTATGCGACTCATTGGTGGATTTCATTGTATCACTTCGTTAATCATGACCGTCGTGAGCGCGTGCGAGATCGTCTGGATTGCCTAGTGTCCCTTGTCCGTCTCGTTCGCCTATCCGAGCTTGCACTACCTATAGAGCAGTCAGTAAGGGCTATAAATCCATTAGTGCCAAAAGCAGAGGACACATACTTGCGCTGGTGTAATAATCAGAGTAGTAGTATGAGCTCGGGTAAGTGTAGTCGCTCTTCTCATCCTCGTGGTCTCTGCGCCTCCTCAGTCCCAGACATAGAGCAAGCGCACCCAACATGATTCCAAGAGTTGCCAATCCACCCCATTTCTTCCTTTCGCCACCCTGGGGCGCTGGAGCTGACGGACGCGAACCGAACCAGGTACGTCCTTCAGGCCTGCCGCCATGCGCATGATGGGAATACCGGTCTTCCACATATGTGGTCTCCTTTCTTCTTCGTCTACCACCAAGACCCAGGCAAGCAAACAAAGCTTCCAGAGCTCCGCGACAACACAGGCAAGCGCAAAGAAGCAAAAGAAGAAAGACGCCAGCAATTGTTCCGATGACGATGCCTGCGATTGCTCCACCACTTAGTCCTCCATTGTCTGGCGCTTTTTCACCAATGAGTATGGCTCCGTCGGTGCCAACAGGAGCAACAAAGCCCTGTGTGGTTGTTACCGATGCAGTCGCAGTGATGGTGGATGCACTTGTGCCTCGTACTGGAGGTGTAGCGGTAGCGGTGGCCCAGATTGACGAACTTCCCATCACACATTGGTTGTTGGAACAGACGTACGCCGCACCACAACAGGTGTTTCCGCAAATGGTCTCGCCCAGTTCGGCCTTGCAACTCCCTGAACCACCTCCGGCAGTCGTTGTATGTCCTACATAGCTGCTCCATGTAGAGGTAATTGTCGCCACATCGGTTTCCGTGGTGACGAAGGTTGTGGTGAAGTACTGCCAGCTGCCACCAGAGGAATCTGCACAGACTGCCTGGCCATTGCTATCGGTGCTACACGTCTGACCAGAGCTGCAGCAGAGTTGGCCATAATAGCCACAGGAATTCGCGCAGCGCTTCTCAAGGCCGGCCTCCTCAAAATCCAGAGGGGAAGCAGCAGAGCGCTGAACTTGCGCCAGTAGGGCCAGTATGGAAATCGCTGAATGTAATATGCGAGAAGTGTGCATGGTGGACGGAGATATGTGCTGGGATCACGAGAAGAATGCCAAACTCGCTCTGTCCCTCTCCAAGCCCGATCAACCACAAGCAATGTCGATGAATATTATTCAAACTGGCTAGACCGGTCACCCCGGACTATGTATGGGTCGGTATCGATAAGAGCTTGTAAGCGAAGGACAACAATCTTCAACTTCGTAACCACGTCAGAAAGAATGTCAAAGCAAGCATGACAAGCAAACAGTGGCAGAAGAATTCTGAAGAAAAAAGAATGAGGGGGTGGATGAGGGGGGGGGTAATCCTCGTGGTGACCAAGAGACGGTAAGTGACCGTCAGCTTTGCTTTGAAGCCCTGTCTCCCAGCCTCCCGTATAGTACCCAACCACCAGGATTTTCTGCAACAAAACAACAGCAACAGCCAATCGCTACCTCTACACAAGAAAAAAGGCTCCAATGAGGTACTGACATCAAAGTTTACTCATTGATAGGAATTTCTAATTTTTCCTTCATTGAAAATGAGGGGGCTGGGTGAGTACCAGCTTTTTCCTTGTCTTTGATCTTATCGTCGCAATGCATTGGACGCTGTGCCCCTCACTGTATTGGAGAAACGGCAGAGACATGACTCAATCAATCATCGCCCTCGCTGACCATTTTTGCCTTCCGTCCCTGACACCAGTTTCATACTAATTCCCCATTAATACCAGCGGAACAAAGATAGAACCTGAACTAAATCGCGCGTTGAGTAACTCGAGTCGGTGTGCGAGGATCCCCCGCTTCCATTCGACACATCGATCTATAAATTCACACCTGAGGCAGCTATTCGAGGGGCCCCACGCAGAGCCTGTTGTCGTCCATGCAAAGGCCATCTGTGCCTGTGTGTTGTCTCGTCACACTTTAGTGCCTTGCCAGCAAAGCGTATGAATCAGGGACAACACACACCGGTGGAAGATTATCCGATGGGATGGTCCAGACTAGTCTTTTTTCTAGCCTAGTTACTCATGCATGAAATTAGCGCAAGCAAATGTACGATGGGTGTATTTTAAGGTGTTCGGTACACCATTCATGACAATGAAGCGGTGTGATGCCTTGTATGTGTCAGTATTCCGTCCTCTTTGTGCGTGCCTCATTGCCTGGTACAAAGTCTCAAGTTAATTCATTCCCGGTCATCAGTATATCCTTATATGGCTCAGACAGTCATGTAAGGATCTTGTGTCCCCTAATCCTAACTAGATATGTACATACATAGACGCCAAAGAACAGTAGATTTACACCTTAGCATAGCCTTCGAACATAACATCATTCAATCATCCTTTCCGAAAGAAAAGCATACGACCTCAAATCAGGCAACAGTCCAGCCATAGGCTTTCCGGCAGTATCTGCACGAAAGACGTCCCGTTCGTTTGATTTCCAGGAGATCAATCTGCTGTAACATATAGGTAAAAGAAAAAGAACAAAGAAAATATTTTCATATCGCATATCCACCATCAAGAAATGTAAGAGCATCAACGCTGATCAAATAAACATACCGGCCAAGCCAATGACCATGCCAAAGACGAGGTCTTCCAGACTCGAGGTCCGTCCCGGGGGTGCCCGATTCATGTCTCCGGCTCCAGTAGCATATGTGTCGCAGTAGCCCAGATTGAGGCCATGACAGGCGTCCATACTCAAGCTGGAACAGGTAGAGACTGCTCCGGCTGCCCCTCCGCCAGCTCGGGTTACACCTCCACCCTCAGCTGCCACCGTGACTGCATAGCCTCCTCCTAAACTCGAGAGACAACCAGTGTACTCACTTTGACACAAGGAGTAGTATGAGGAGCATACACCGGCGTTAGGGAACGTCGTCGGTACATAGATAAACGGATAAGCGCCTGGCATCGTCGACCCAGTAATAGTAGCAGCATTGGGTCCCGTGGTGGTCATAGAAGCAGTTGCGGTTCCTGGAAATCTAAAGGTGGTCGAGGCAGAGGTGGAGTCTCCGGTAAGAGAACCTGTACATTTCGCTCCAGTCGGACAGCAGGCAATATTGTCGGCGGCGTCGCGAGAGCAGACAGAACCTTGTCTGCAGCAGACGTCGGATCTACCCATGTTGGAGCATGGGTCATACCCAGCCGGACAGCTGTCAGCCCGCTTTAATATACGCAAGACTTCATATGCCCTTTTGTTTGCTTCTGCGGATTGCGGAGGAGAAAATGGCAACGTCTCTATCGATAATACAGTCGAGGCGAAGAATGCGGCCGAGATCCACCCAAATACCTTCATTCTAGCGGCTAGGGCTAGAGTCCGCCCACTGAATTGTATGTAACTCTTGAGATCGGCGTTCGGTTTAGATTTCGATTAGGATTCTTGGTGTGATCGAGTGTTGTGTGGTATGCGACAGTAAAAATACCATGCGGTCAACAAACTACTGAAAGCGGCAACCGTAGTGTTAGTGGGTGGTTGAAAGACTTGAAACAAAGCAACATCCAAATTGACGGGTATGTATGAAAAGCAACTCACACTCAGTGGCTAAATCCCAACTCCAGATATCTTCGAGAACGGTCGGCCACGGTACCGGTGACCGGAGTCGGGTGGATGATGTATTCTGCATCGGGCTGTACTTGTTCTGGTAGTTAGGCGCAATCTCCACCGAGATCCCTGCCACAGCAACCGCGTGTCCACCCATTGTCCAACCACCTGCTTGGCTATTAATATGAACCTTTGACATCAAGGTGCATGTCTCAATAAAAAATACTCTGCTACAGCTCGTGCAGTTTTACCTCTGTTTCTTCCGGTTCTCATACGTGGAAAAGGGAAAATTAAAAAGAAAACTGTATAATGGGCAAAAACATTTTCTTACATATCGTGTCTAACGTTCAAGGTTATTTTCCGAAAACCGAACTCTCAAGCAATGCATGCTTTTCAATCTTTCCTTTTGCTGAGTTTCGCACGCCATGTAGTTCTTGGATATGCCTTTCTTAACCTTGGAAAGTGACTGTGTTAAAATAGCACGTCGCATTATTTGTCTAAGCGTTGAACCACCGAGGCACTAGGTGGTACTTCTTAACAGAAACACTCTATTACCAAATTCAACTTTATATATCTCCATGGGCTTCCCAGATAGGTGGTTTTAATGACGCCATGAAATCTGATCCAAACATTACGCCTGACTCGGCACGGCTGCTATGGAAGCCCGTATCTTAGTCGAGCCTGCAATCCGGTCTCCGTCGGAACTCCTGTCTGATCAGTCTACAATGCGATAGTCACTGCTCCGTACTAAAATGTGTAAAACCGTTACAATGTTGCCAGTCGTATGACACTTAGACAATTACTTGGGTCAATGAATGGGTATGTATAGAGAGGGAGAGAGGCTATTTCAGTGTTGAACTATTTGATTCTACTACCTTTTCTCAATCCTAGATGGTGTAAGTGCTTGACAAACTGCAACGCTCAATATAAGTGCAAACCAGGCTTTTACAAATACCGACTTGTTCTTCGTTCAGGCATCCACACCGTACGGGCCAGAAATCCTCTCCAGAGCCAGGAAGATCCTTCAAAATCAACACGGCATTCAAGCGCAGCGCTGCAAACTCGTCATAGTAAGTATATTGCTCACTGCACATGAGGAAACATCACACTTCTGGGAGGGATGAATTCTCAGCTACCGTTTATATTTTATGAGGCCACCAGAGTTGTTGGAACTGAGGAGTCGTACGCAGGACCGAGGGCAACGAGGCGACGGGCAAGGCAACCGAGTCAGTGATATTTTCTTTAAAAAAAAAAACGTTCTATCACAATACTAGAGCCTAAAACTACTAGGTAGGAGATAAACCTTGCTGAGAAAGTGGGTAAATAGTGAACTTGGCCTGCAAATCCCTGTCAACTAAGCGACACGATCATACCCGGAAAGAATCAGACGACCTCCGCCTCATGACATGCCAAATTATTCAGGACATTCGGTGATGGCAAGGGCATTGAAACCCAGTTATTTGACAGTTGATACGATGTGCACTAACGTGGTCTTACTCCAATACAGTTCATCGCTTATCCTTCCAAAAGTGTTTCGGCTCTGGGGACAAGGTAGACGCATTCAGTACACATTTCACAATGACCTGCGCAATGTCCGATCAAGATCATATTGTGCTCAGGTAGCTTGCTTGCGAGCAAGTCCTGAACTCACTTTGACAGAATTATTTACGAAATCTCAGATCAAATTGGATTTCCTACCTTACGAATTAACAGCTTTCTGAGCGATTGCTTATAGGAAATCTTGAATTCCACAATTTGACATTACTACACTTTCTAAACCATCATTAGCACTTAGTTATTCTGGAAGGAGTTTAAATATGTAGTTTTTAGGCTTAAGGTCAGTATATTACTGGGGAATCAAGAGACTATTGAACAGGAAGTCCCTGTGGCGGCATGTGACTGAGGGGAATGTCATCACATCTCAACTCTATCACCGTCTCCACCATATCCATGGAAAATGCGTACCGCCCACCAAAAACGAGACGAGTAACCTCTCTATAGGTTGTGATTTTTGGACATTGGAGTTCAATCGTTAGATAGGCTTTTATAAAATTGTCACCCGCTAGCATGGCGCCAGGAGATGGTTCAGCCTCAATGGAAATTCCTATCGTTGACTTCTCGTCCTGGAAGAATACCCAGGACCAAGCCTCGCGGTTAAGAACGGCACAAGAACTCGTCAAAGCATGCCAAACCGTTGGCTTTGTCTACATCATCAACCACTCGCTGTCCGAGTCCGTCCTGAATGAAGCATTTGATTGGATGAAACGTCTTTTCAATCTTCCCGAAGAGGAGAAGATGAAGCGCCTCATCCTGAGGGTTGGGCAGTGCATCGGGGGTATTCATGGCCTGGATTGGAGAAAGTCTCCCAGACGATGCCCACCGGAAATGATGAAGAAGCAAAAAGAAAGTTGCGAGAGATCCCAGATGTCAAAGTATGTTATGGCTTACCTCGTACACGGACCAACGTCATGTATTGAGATGAGAACGGTAAAGATAAGGACTGTATCTTATAGTGCCATAGGAAGTATACGATATCGGGAGTGATCAAAACGCTGACCAACCTAATCAATGGATCCCCGACGAAGCCCTCGTTGGCTTCAGGGCTTTTATGATCAAGTTCTATTGGGAGTGCTGGACAGTCGGCGAGGAGCTTTTACGTGCTCTAGCCATCGGATTGAATCTAGAGGACGATTCTTATTTAGTCGACAAACATTCCGGCCACGGTAATCAACTACGACTACTACATTACTTGCCCGTACCAGCCGAGGATCTTGAGAAAGAGCGGACAGCCCGTTGTCCAGCGCATACGGACTGGAGTTCCTTAACTATGCTGTTCCAAGATGATTGTGGAGGTCTGGAGGTTGAAGATATTTCTCGGCCAGGTACATTCGTTTCTGCACCTCCTTTGGAGAATGCCATTGTTGTAAATGTTGGTGATCTTCTGCAAATGTGGAGTAATGGTAAGTATCCTATTCTACTGGCACAATGCGGCGATGAATGCTCTGACCCGTACAGACCGACTCAAATCTACAAACCACAGGGTCAGAATGCCACCGCTTGCCGATCGCTACGAGGGTCCAAATCGGATGACCCGTGAGCGGTTCTCGATTCCCTACTTTATGTCTCCAGACCCATCATCTGTGATTGAATGTATTCCATCGTGTATGAGCGAGAACCAGCCCGCCAAGTACAAGCCAATCACACAGGCAGAGTATAACAAGATGCGAGCCTCTATGATGTACTGAACAAAGCCGAGCCACCATGGCTGATCGTGGCACTTCTACATCATTAGAAAATTGACAGTCCAGTTTGTTGGAAATGAGCTAAGAGAATGAACAAAGTCCTGGGTAGCAATCTTCGCATGTGCTTGAGTTTGTATATCGCACACAATCCCATTTTGATCGTATCATCCAGCTTTTCTTCGAATGATATCCACCCTGACCAACCCAAAGTATTGAAATATACAAGTCAAGCTCTTGGTGGACAGTACAGAGTATATACAGTGACGTGAGAGCCCTAAGCCCTAAGAAGCACCGTATCTGGAAAACGCCCCGCTGGTCGTGACGGCGGAGTTCAACTGAGCTTTGGCCGCCGATAAGTTTATGCCCGAGCCTCCGTCTTGCCTCTATAAGGAGTACAATAACAAAGGCTATAGACCTTCACTGAGTTGATCAAACTTCTAGCTCACACTTTTCTACCGATTGCGAATACATATCAATCGCAAATATCTACAGTACCCCTTTCTTGAACATCCCGCGACCGCGATTTGCATCCCCTCACCACACCCCTCATATCTAACACCCCTATACCTTGTCAAAATGTCTCTTCCCAATGAAGCTCTGCAAAAGGTAACTTTTCAAACACCTACTACATCAATAAACACCTAGCTAATGGCTAAATCCGATGTCCAGCTCCTCCAAGAACTCGAAAACCGCATAGTCACCTCCCAACAACAGATCGGGATCGCCAAGGCCCAAGTGACCACAAAACAGAAGGCTATCAGACTGTTAGACTTGACGTCCAGTGAGATGAGCTCCTTACCTAAGGACACGCCTGTCTACGAAGGTGTAGGGAAAATGTGAGTGGGCCTCCACCTTTCACGAGCAATGTTTCGCTTGGATTCGGCATCAAAGACCGACCTGGTGCTGACTTTGACTTGCTATAGGTTCGTGGGTGTCCCAATGTCGACGGTTGATAAACGCTTAGTGGCCGAAAAGGCGGAACTCAAGTCGGATGTGTCGGGGTTGGAGAAGAAGTTGAGTTCGCTGGAGATGACACATAAGAACAGTATGGAGCATTATGAGCGGTTTGTGAAGTCTGGTGGTAAGGCTTGAGTTGAATCGCTTCTGGTCCTGAAGTCATGTTGGGGTTTGTTACGGATCTACTTTGGCTTTGGGAAATTTGGCTTCCCCGAGTTCGACGTTTTTGAGAAACAGAAGGGAGAACCGACGAAGCGCTCTGTAACAGGAGCTAGAAGGAATTGTTCAAGATGAAGAATGAGGACAGCGAGTTATGCTGTTACTCGTGCAAGCCGGTTACTGTGCAGAAAACACCCCGGCGCTTGGATATACAACGGTTTCCGGATGACGTACGGAACTTTTGGCTATGATATCTACTGGCTGGACCAGTCGCTGAGACAGCGATCAGCTACTCTGATGCCTAGGGAGTGTTGCCGGTCGCTAATCATGTTTACCTCGGGAACTCGAACTCGGCGCATGTCCTTAATACTTGACTATCCGCTGGTGCCTCTGATAACTAGGTAGAAACCAATGTTAATAATGTCCTCACAGATCAATATCTCCGTCGCTCTTCTGTATCTCATCTTCAGGTACGATGATTAGGTGAGTTTGGCCTCTAAACAGAGTGTGCTAGAGACAAATCAGATCGCGCATTGTAAGGTGTTGCTCTTTCCAGTTTCTCAATTTATCGAGTCGGGTACTACCACAAAGCTTTGTAGCAGCCTTTTGCTGCTCAAGGTAGGGCTCTTTCGAACAGCACCTCCAACGCTTGAAGCCTCGCCGTGATCATTGCCAACGACCCTCGAGCCATTTCGCTCGGAAAACAGCATGTGGAAAACTCGATCTCCATGCGGGTTGTTTGACAACGACATGGTCTGTTAATTACACAGAAGTAAGACTATTCTGATCCCGCTGTAAATAACTGCCCCTGCTCTGCCTTTGACACTATTGACCTCAGGTACCTACGAAAATGTCCAGAGTTCTTGTACCAGAGACATCCAATTGAGGCAACTTGGAGCCGAATGAAGAAATGGATTCAAGATCAAGATCTTGAAGATTGCTAGTTCTCTTATAATGTCCTCCGAGCTGCTTTACGGGAGGCCTGAGATGCAGTTCCAGAAACCTTTTCGAAAGTCTTCATGGATTCCAATCAGGAGAGGTGTCAGGAGGCTCATAGTGGCCATACTAGACTCTGACACTATAAAATGTGATTTGGAGTGGAAGAGTGGCTGACAGGGCCCCGGGGGGCTCGGGTCTACAGTATAGCTATGTAAGGTGTGATCCAGGTATACAATAACAATCACAGACTCTGCCAAAACTGTCGCGAGTGATAATATTATATCCAAAATCTATGTCTTTCCGGGTGTTCCTGTTTCTCTTTATCCCGCGGTCATGGACTATGTATATTGGCTTTGAGGGCTCTTTTCGGTATACTACAAGATAATTACAATATGTGGCATTGTTTTAGTATATTTACGCTTACGGTAGCGTCGTGTCTATATTCTATGCTACCTAGATATCCCCGCGAGCCCCCACACCGGTACTATATGAATGAAATACGAAAAGTGGCTGTTAAATGTTAAATCATTTTAATAGCCCTAAGTCACTTGACTCTGACTCTAAGATATCATTTGTAAATATCTTTCATGATCCATTACTATCTATAGAGTTAGACATTAGACATTAGACTGACTCAAGACACAAAACCTACGTATTTTCCTTGAATAAATTGATAAACTTTCTATCTATATCGAACTAAAATAGAAAAGCTTAATATAACTTCATGTCGCCGTGGCTGACTTGCCTGGACGCCCGCAGCCCATTCTTACATAGGTAGTTTATAGAAAGTAAACTAAACCAGTTAGAGTTCATATTTATCATTAGGTTAGTACTCAAAGTCAAGCACTTAGGGGCCTTTTGCCCGGGCTAGCTCCGGGCCAACCCGAGCCGCTGCTTAGCTGGAATCACCAATATTATGCTAAAGTCGTACCTAATTGAGTTTGCCATCAAGACCTGGAAAACCGGGATGGCTTAATAAGTTAGTGATCTAAGGCCACTATGTGCATACAATTAATTCGACCAGGGTTGAATAGCTCGGAAGGCGATTACATGCGACCTACGGATTGGATGCTGCCGCAGCCTAGCTAGGACCCGAATTTGTGGGCGGAATCTCAATACTTATCGTGCTGCCTGTGGCCACCATCATTTCCGGACAGAAACTGGCGCCTGTCTTAGGCAATGAAGCTCATGGACCTGTCACAAATTTGAAAAGTTTTCAGGTAAAATGTATTCCATCTTCCCACACTTTTACAAACAGGCAACGGGGCCTTGTCGCCTAATCTACAAAACCCCCTTGCTCCTAGGTCTATCTATATAGACGGGCTGAAAAAAAAGTGTCTCCCCCGAGCCGGAATCGAGCCAGCGACCTTTTGATTACAAAGGAAATTCCATTACAGTCAAACGTGATATCCAACTACACCATCAGGGGTTTCGACGTGCTGGTTATATATTTATAATGTCTACAAGAACCAAAAGTATATATATTACCTAATTCCAACCATCTGAACTGTAGGATGGCTAAGCCAAACGGATCTCATGGATCTTAATGTCCCTTTGAGCACTACTGTTGCGTCAGCCGATGCGCGCACCCTTTTGTTTTGTTATACCGGAGGATACATGTTACGACAGAATCGTCATCGCTTGCATGTCGTGTTGACTTTGGGTTGCCCGTGGCAGATGCATAAATACTCGCGGTTGCGCCAAATGCCCCTCAGGTTTATCATATTCACTGAAAATCGCTTAAATCGCCTTTTGAATACCAACCATATAACACATATTTCCTGGAAACCACTATTTTAAGATATCATCTCTTTCCAATGTACACTGGAAGCCTACCTAATTAGGAGCTTACCTATCTAGGAGCCTACTTATTTAAAAGTCTACCTATCTAGGAATTTATTTATCTGAATATCTTTCCCACGTATATTTCTAATCCTGAATTCTATATTTTTGATTTAATATTTATTAACACGTCCAGTAGACTGCACTCTTTTTTACCTAGTAGTCTATTTTTAAACTTTGAGATTATTAGATTAACCTTATAATTGGTAGTATAAGGTATTAAGGCCTAGGAATGGGGAAAGTAGTTTACAATGATCGCTGTTATTTTAGACCCTTTGTTATATCCACAATGTATATAAAGCCTATTTATGATACAATTGTCAATGAGAGCTGCTTAGTACTACTAAACGGCCGTTGACAACCCGAGAAAAACCCCTGAATAGGGGCTGTATTCGGGTATAATGCGGCTGATCGCAGCCTGCAGGTGGAAGTGACCTGGAGGCCCGAGTTGAACCTAGTGGCTGTGTCGATATTATGGAGCAGTTGCTAGAGGCCGGGGCTAATACTGAGGCCCGGGATTCCAATAACTGGACAGCACTGTTTCAAGCCGTTTTCATAGGAAATCCGAGAATGGTGAAGCTACCACTAGGCCATAAAGCCAAGCCTGATCCTCTTGACAAGCAACAGGGGATACCTCTGGAGTATGCAGTCGCACTCGGTCTTCACCCACCCGTTTTCTTCCAGAAGACCGAAATCTTCGACATGCGAGATGGCCATTTACAATATCGCACAGCAGATTCTCGAGACCCGTCCGCTCAACCATGAACCCCAGGATCGCTTTGGTCGCAGCCTAACGTGGTGGATACAATTGATGGGTCATACCCGGATGCGAGACCTTTTGACTGGTTACGGTATGCAGCTAAGAGGTGATGGACAGGAACAACAGGGCCGGTACCAGCTTGGGGTGAGATCGAATAGAGCTACACAGACATGTGACATCTGCACCATGAGCCTTTCTCGGGATAATCGAGGCGTTTTATGTGGTGCTGGATGCGAGAAATATAGAATATGCCATATTTGTTGTGCGTTTGGCGCCAGTTGTGAGGATTTCGTGAGGAACTAGAGATTTCAGGGATACAAACAACGTGTCATTCTACTTTCAACAC